CATGTGGTGCACCGCAAACACTCCAGGCATGCATGCAACACTCCGCAGGTGCATGCAAAACTGGAGGCTTGCCTTCGAAGAGCCGCGGCGGCCGTCGGCAGGTGTTCAAAACCTCAGTGGAACTGACTGAAACCTGGGAGAGCCTAAAGTGCCTGGGAGCCTAAAGTGAAAGCTGCTGACTGTCATTGCATGTGGTGCTCGACAAACGCTCCAGTGGCAACACTCGCAAGTCAAAGCAGCTGACTGTGATTGCATGTGGTGCACGGCAAACACTCAAGGCATGCATGCAACACTCCACGGGTAAATGCAAAACTGGCGGCTTGTCTTCGAAGAGCCGCGGCGGCCGTCGGAGGAAACCTCAGTGGAACTGAGTGAAACCTGGGAGCCTAAAGTGCCTGGGAGCCTAAAGTGAAAGCTGCTGACTGTCATTGCATGTGGTGCTCGACAAACGCTCCAGTGGCAACACTCGCAAGTCAAAGCAGCTGACTGTGATTGCATGTGGTGCGCGGCAAACACTCTAGGCATGCATGCAACACTCCACGGGTAAATGCAAAACTAGCGGCTTGTCTTCGAAGAGCCGCGGCGGCCGTCGGCAGGTGTTCAAACCTCAGTGGAACTGACTGAAACCTGGGAGCCTAAAGTGCCTGGGAGCCTAAAGTGCCTGGGAGCCTTCAAAGTAAAAGCAGCTGACTGTCATTGCATGTGGTGCTCGGCAAACACTCCAGTGGCAACACTCGCAAGTCAAAGCAGCTGACTGTGATTGCATGTGGTTGCCGGCACCACTCTAGCATTCCTGTCAACACTCACGGGTAATGCCCACTGGCGGCTTGTCTTCGAAGAGCCGCGGCGGCCTTCGGCAGGAAACCTCGGTGGAACTGACTGAAACCTGGGAGCCTAAAGTGCCTGGGAGCCTAAAGTGAAAGCAGCTGACTGTCATTGCATGTGGTGCTCGACAAACGCTCCAGTGGCAACACTCGCAAGTCAAAGCAGCTGACTGTGATTGCATGTGGTGCACGGCAAACACTCTGGGCATGCATGCAACACTCCCGGGTAAATGCAAAACTGGCGGCTTGTCTTCGAAGAGCCGGGCGGCCGTCGGCAGTGTTCAAAACCTCAGTGGAACTGACTGAAACCTGGGAGCCTAAAGTGCCTGGGCCTAAAGGTAAAGCTGGGGAAAAGTGGAAAGCAGTGTCTGCATGTGATGCATGGTGCAAAACATCTGGGCATGCATTGCAACACTCCACGGGTAAATGCAAAACTGGCGGCTTGTCTTCGAAGGAGCGCGGCGGCCGTCGGCAGGTGTTCAAACCTCAGTGGAACTGACTGAAACCTGGGAGCCTAAAGTGCCTGGGAGCCTAAAGTGAAAGCAGCTGACATTGCATGTGGCTCGGCAAACACTCCAGTGGCAAGCAGTCAAAGCAACTGTGATTGCATTGGTGCACGGCAACCACTTGGGCACAGCAACACTCCACGGTAAATGCAAAAACTGGCGGCTTGTCTTCGAGAGCCGCGGCGGCCGCGGCAGGAAACCTCAGTGGAACTGAGTGAAACCTCCTGGGCCCAGCCTGGGTAAATGCAAAACTGGCGGCTTGTCTTCGAAGAGCCGCGGCGGCCGTCGGCAGGAAACCTCAGTGGAACTGACTGAAACCTGGGAGCCTAAAGTGCCTGGGAGCCTAAAGTGCCTGGGAGCCTAAAGTGCCTGGGAGCCGCCGTGACAGGAATCGCAAGTCAAAGCAGCTGACTGTCATTGCATGTGGTGATATATATTTAATATTAATATATGTATATTAAATTTAAATTTATTTATTCCTGCCCCCCCCCCCTGAGGATGCGGCTGCGGCTGCGGCCACAGCCGAAGAGTGATCACGACGAAGTCCATGAAGACATGGCGGCACGGGTTATTAGGGGTGGGCCTGGAGCCTGGAGCCTGGCAGCCTGGGAGCTTTGGAGCGTCTGACTGACAGAGCCTGGACCTGCATGCGTGCATGCTGGGGTCTGACCGAGCCTGGTGCATTGTTCTGGGTCTGTGCATGCATGCTGGGGTCTGACCCAGCCTGCAGCCTGGTGCATTGTTCTGGGTCTGTGCATGCATGCTGGGGTCTGACCGAGCCTCGTGCATTGGTCTGTGCATGCATGCTGGGGTCTGACCGAGCCTGGTGCATTGTTCTGGGTCTGTGCATGCACGCTGGGGCCTCGGTCGGGGATGCACGGGCATCCCTCACCCCCGCAAGATGTCAGTGGTGGGACCACAGACATCTTGCGGGGGTGATGGACGTCTCTATCCATGCACGCTGGGGCCTCGGTCGGGGTTCATGCACGCACATCCTTCACCCCTGCAAGATGTCGGTGGTGGGACCACAGACATCTTGCAGGGGTGAGGGATGTCCGTGCATCCCCCGACAGGCATCAACTCCAACCAGGTGTTCCCACTGGAAACACCTGGTTGGATTGATGCCTGGTCTGACCCCTCGAGCCTGAAGGCTGCAGTTGGTTGTATGCAATGAACCCCACAAAACACCAAAAAATTAAAAATCCCCGAAACGGCCACCAAGACTCTTAACTGAAAATCTCGAATGGCAAACCGTCAACCCTAAAAATAAATACCGGACCTACCCCAAAACCTGAAAAGACTTGATGATAACAAGCCCCTGCCCACTAACCGCAAACCCTAAACCTAAGCCCGATAAAAAGTTTTTCATTAGAACAGAGAAGTGCAGGATGCAGTACCCTGTATGATGAATGACGGATGGCAAGCCGGCAAACCCTGAAGTAAATCATGAACGGCAGACCTTAAACACCCTAAACCCTAAAAATTGTGGAGGGTAGACTGCCAACCCTGGAAACGCCATGCCGTCCACGAAAGAAAGATCCATGAATGACGGCCGGCAAGCCGGCAAACCCTGAGAGTAAATGATGAACGGCAAACCCTTAACCCTAAAAAGAACTCATAATGACTAACCCCTAAACCCTAACAACCCTAGACCCATCAAAGAAATTTGTAACGATAAACTCAACGAACCTTAAAATTGTGGCGGGTAGACTGCCAACCCTGAAAATGCCTTAACCTTACACATAACAAATGCTGCACCCCCAAAATGAATGACGGCTGGCAAGCCGGGCAGACCCTGAAAGTAAATCATACACGGCAATCCCTAAACCCTAGAAGAACTCATAATGACAAACCCTAAACCCTAAGAGTAAATTGATGAATGGCAAACCCTAGACCCGTGAAAAAATTAATGATGATAAAAACAGAAAAGTTGTTGAGGGTACACTGCCAACCCTGATAATGCCTGAAAGATAACAATCGGTGAACCGCAAAAAAAGGATTCATGAATGACGACTGCAAAGCCGGCAAACGCTTGACTCTAAAAGCAACGCATAACGACAAACCCTAAACCCTAAACCCTGAGGCCTAGACCCATCCAAGAAATTATGACGATAAAGCCTACGAACCTAAAAATTGTGGAGGGTAGACTGCCAACCCTGGAAATGCTTTAGCCTTAAACACATGCCGTCCACAAAAAAGGTTCATGAATGACGGCCGACAAGCCGGCACACCCTGAAATAAATCATGAACGTCAAACCCTTAACCCTAAACATAACTCATAATGACAAACCTTAAGCCTTAAACCCTAACAACCCAGAAGATACATCATGGATGGCAAGCCCTAAACTCGTCAATGAAGGTATGGCCGGTATGGCCTTATAGAAAGCAAATGCTGTCCGACAAAAGAATTCAGTAATGACGGCCGGCAAGCCGGCAACCCCTATGAACGGCAAACCCTAAATCCTAAGAGAACTGAACATGACAAACCCAAACAATAACAGTAAATTGCGGATGCAAAATTGTCAACCCTGAAAAGGCAAACCCTTGACCGTGGTGACGACAAACCAGACCGTCAGCTCTGCAAGTCAAGGGTGGATGGCAAGCCCCAAACCCCGAAACGAGAAGATGACGACAAACTCCAAACGCAACAGGAGTAAACCCCTAAACCCTGCAAAGACGTGATGATGACTGCTTAAACCCACAATACGGAATGCAGGGCAAACCACAACTTCCAATTTGATGGGTAGCGGACTTTGGGACGCCGCTGCTGGGCGGCGGATCCTAAAACCTCACACGAGTGGTGCAAGGCAAAGACAGATCCTAAAGGGAGGGATGTCAGACACTAGGCATGAAACAGTTTCACCAATGATAGATGGAAGAATAGGACAGGATAGAAGAGAAATCTTGAAATATGACAGGTGGTTGGCAGAAAAAGCCTTAACGCTGAAGGTAATAGTGGGCGAGACCCCCTAACCTTCACAAGGGATGGTGGATGGCAAATCCTGGCACATGTGTCGTATGTCCATGTGTCTCCTGTTGACGTGTATCTGACATCAAAGGTGGCCCCCGGCCAGCGGCATCAAGCATAGTCACAGTATTGAGCTTAAGACGGAAGCATTCCATTCTGATGGTCTTCATCATTCAGTTTGTACCAGCTCTGTCCTGCTTCGAGTGAACCTGCAATGCGGTGACACTATGGGGTTCTTCCGCTGGATAAGCGTCGCCGGCGGAGGGCTCCCGCTGTGGCGCGGCGGACATCTTCCAACTAAATCAGAGAAATCGTTTCCCGCTACACTTCCCACAGTCCCGTGCATTTCCGCCCGACGAAGCACATGCTTGCACTCACATCTTGCGCAGGGCTCGTGTTGTTGCCGCTCGTTTACTGTCTGTTTGGTGTCACGGATAGTCGATCATCCTGGCGACGTTGCCTTCAAATTTGACTCGATCTGACCGAGACCAACCAACTGCTCAATCTTGAAACATATGGCGGAATGTGGAACGAATCACCCCACAGTGCCTTGTAATCGTTCTGCTCACGGACTGCCAACAACGACGCAGAAAGTGACAACGGCGGCCCCCAACTGCAACAAGAAGGAAACATGAGCATCTAAGACCACCTTCTGTTATTGTAAGATTCATGAAACAGGCCACTAATGCTCGCATGCTGCATCTATGAATTGTTTTCGGAAAGCCATTCGTGCCAAAACGGCCACGTGCGCCAGACATCCCACCCATCATACCCATCCTCAGAAATGCGCGTGCTGGAAGAGAAACAACAGTGTACTTCAAGGCAGGGGAGCGACAGATAGGTGATGAGTGATGCCCGCAACATCCCACAACTCCCATAATCCGTCAGAGTCACTGCAAGCAAAAGAGTCATGGGCTGTGAACATGGTCCGATCTGGTATGCACCGGACACGCTCTCCCTCTGTGAAGACTTGTGTTGTAGGACAAATAAACAAGCAGCCTCTGCAAATTCAGATGTCCTGACAACAGCGGAGGCTCCGCATCCTGTATTACAAGAGCTTGTACTGGTCCATGACGACCATGCCTCATCTCATTTTGGGCTATGTCATAAACTAAGGCAAGCCATGGCATGGCGAAATCTCAATAGAAGCTTTGATCGCTGCACAATACTTGGTCGTTTCGCAGTGGCTGCTGCACGCGGACACTTCTCGCGCACCTTGGGGATAATATGACAGCGAACTCGAACGTATGATTGCGGCAGTCGTTCAAGCAAAGGCTCTGCGTGGATGACAGACTTTCCCGCACTCGTTGGGCATTTTCATGATGGCACGATGGCGGAAGCGCTGGCCCCCACACCTCCCATGACAAACATTCATGTTGCTGCTGCACGCTCTGAATCTCGTGAGTCTCGTCAGGCCTCGAACAGTCGCCCCAGTCGGACCACGCACCCCATTCGCAGTCCAGGCCTCGGAAAGCAAAGCCATATAACACGATCGCTGTTCATGGAAGGGGGGACTGGTTTGGAGTGTGAACACCAGCATGACCGTTCTGCGACCACTCCACATCATCACAAGTCAAGTGATGCTGAAGAGAGACGCACGTGCTCATGCTCACAATGGTCCTCACAAGACATATTCTCATAATCTAGGCCCTACTTAGTTGAGAGCGGGTGTAAGTTTCTGCCAATATGAAGCGAAGTACCGCACATATCAACAAATGTGGGGCCAAACATGTGTGCATCTGTTGTACACTTTCGTGCGCGACACCAAAACTGATGTTCAGTGCCAAATAGCTTCCCTGACTACGTGAAGCGTCAAGAATTGTATTGTCACGATGAACAGAAAAACATCTTCTGATGGAGGGCCAAAACCGTCAACAAAGAACGTTGCGGGGCAACACGAATCCAGGTGTCAACACCAGGAAATGTTGTCAAAGCACCTTCTTGTCGAACACACATGTGAGGACGCCTTCCCCATCGCCTCTTTAATGGCTACTCAATTGACATATGTTGCATGTTTGTATCCCTGCCGGGATATTCGCTTGATATTTGGGGGTAGTGCTCGCATGGGTTTATTCGGATGAAGTTCTAGTTCGAACATATGACTGAAAGCTCGGGTAACCATATAGTGAGTAAGCAACTCATGCATGCTTACATATTCGCGGCACCTAACTCTTGTTCGTTGAGCTGCGGGGCTGTGTCTGCGAAGCATCTTAACAAACACCAGTTGTTGTAATCTCGAGTGCAGGCCAAGGTAGTGTTTCTGCGATGGTTTGTCCGATCTCTAGGTCATCCTCTATAAAATTTTCGTGAATATTTCGAACGTATTCGTGCATATAATCGCGAGGTTATATGTCGAACACGTTGTAACTCACTCCCTAATGAGTAGCTGGTTCGCATGTTCCGTAGTTGCCGCTATCCGCTTGCTCACGAAATGGACGATGAGCAACATCCCTCACATGTGTTTTTACTATTGCGTCTTGAAAGACTTGTTTGTAAAACAATTCGCTACCAAACATGTAGCAATATGGGTTAGTGTTGAACTAGGCTCAATGAATATTAGTGACATAGCAGGTGAGATCTAGCTTGGTGTCGCGTGAGACGTATTTGATTGGCACTCGCCTTTGCATTGAATTGCGCTTTAGACGCTGCGGATCAACAGGTGCAAGAGATATACAAAAGGTAGAGTTTGTGTGGGTACATAGCGACATACTGGCCGAACTGCAGAATATTGTGTAAATGTGTTGATGAATCATGACGAAGCATTAATGGAAAGAAGACTGTAAAATGGTCAAGCGTCGCTAACATTTTATGTACTAGTAGGTGCGGATATTCCGTATTCCATAGAATACTGACTGGTTGAGTACTGTGCTGTATGTGTGTATGCCTACTTATCTTGAAAGACTATACATAAACAAATTAAACAGTTACTTCTGTGTGGGTGCACTACCAAACTCATGTAAAGGAAGCTTAACACAGGCATCGACTTGTTTAGGAGTATTGCTACAACATAGCAACGAATTGTTCTTGCATGAAAACTTGACATTTTGGGACTTTAACGCCTTCTGCAGGTTTTCTGCAATAGCAGCTAGCATTTAGATTTTGGACATATTCGAAGGTTAGCTTGAAATTTTAAGAAAACGGACATCCTCAGACAAACCCACTTCGCACAAGCAGCGCTGAGTGGGAAACTAGCGACTCGGGCATGGGCATGTGTAGGCAATAACAACCCCAGAACCAAAACGACATGAAAAATGAAACACTCTTCCGGGACACTAGTATCCCGGAAGACTGTTGCTTGTTGTATGTGTTGTATGTTGCGTTGTCTTTGTTGGTTTATTTGGTGTCTTTGTGTTGTTGATTTGAGTTGGTGTCTTTGATGTGTTTTTGCTTTGCGTTGAACTACTCTTTCACATAACGGGTCATTTTCTTGCAGGGACATGGGGGCCGCTTTGTTTTACAATATGGATCCGGGATAAGATGTAATAGACATAGAAATGTCTGTCGCCAGTCGCTATCACCACTCTAGATCCTTCAAAACTACTGCATTCTACATGCCACCACAGTCCTTTCTGTTCCGTGAAACATCATCAAACGCTGCGAAAGCCCGTAACTTACAACGACATCTCCACGAAGCCGAGGGCCGTGCAAACCACGGGCCTGGGTTTCGCCAAATGTGGACAATGCGAACTACGTGCATCCGCTCACAGTCGACGAGGTGGGTTTTCTGAGGTGAGCACTGGCAGAGCTGCGTGTTGCAAGGAGCTGTGACGCTCAGCGAATTGTCACACGCCTGTTTGAGGGCTCATCACACAACCACCAGTAAAGTGCAGCTGTGCAAGCACCGCAAGCACACACCTTCCCTCCCTTGGCCGGTTCTCGTTGAACCTCACGCCTGCGCTCCTGTCAAGTGTGAAGTGCTCTGCAGGCTCCCACTGGCGCATGACACAAGGAACTGCAGCGAAGGCAGACCTTCTGGCCGCCACCACAGCTCAAGCTGCACTTTGACCACTCACTCCATTCGCTGAGTTGACAATCCTGGACGGAAATACCGGCATGTGCCACATGTGCCACGAAGCAGCGACCTGCCCACCTGCGGCAGTGGTTCGCCGCAAGCCTGCGATGCCTGGCTCATGCACTTCGTCTTTTCTGTCTTATGGCTCTGCAGCCTCGCAGGGGCATGCTGTACCCTGTTTCGGTGCTCCTTCAAGGAGGCTGCGAACCCCGGACCGCACTTCCTGCCAACAGACTATGTGACCTCAAAGGTTGCATCGATTTCGACCAACCGAGGCCCCATAGACACCGTGAGACTCCGGGTATGTGGCGTGCCATAGGCTGTACTTGCTGACACACTGCGTGATTCTGGTGACGATGCGATGCTGCGTGCGTGTGCAAGACCGTGCAGGCTGTCGAACTCGTGCAAGGAACCAGCAGGAGGCTTCCACGAGCCTCACATGAGTGGGCAATCCTTCATCTTCTTTGACGGAGCCAGCTCCCAGGCAGCATCGAAGCTGTGTAGGACAGCGGCCGTCTCGCCTCGAGAGAACAGCTGACATCAGGGCACAGCGTTCCGGTTCTAGATTCTAGGTGAAGCATGTGAAAGGCCACATTGTCGGTTCACGAACAGATTTCAGTAGCCAAGACAAGGATCAACGAATCATTAAGTAGTCTGCTTTCGGCGTGCCTCTGGCCAAACAAAGCCTTCAGCCTGATGTTCTTCCGATAAAGAACCCCTCTCTAACAACAGGAAGCAGAAGAACAGACCGAAAATGTACTATTCCAGCAAGGGTGCCTTCGAGCCGCAACTTGACACGAAACTGCAGCTCACCACGACCAGGAAAATCAAGCAGCTGCATCCGGAAATGGCGGCAGTCGCATCGGCCAGCCACTCTGTCGAGATGCTCTTGGAAAGAAGTGTGCAAGGCATCACAAGTCGACGTTTGCAGCAACTGAACCAATGGTGATGCAGCGTTTCCTCTGCTCCTAGATGAAGTGTAATCTGCGATGAAAGACAGCTGCACACGTCTAGCATCCCCGTCAGGTCTGCACCACTTTACGTCCTTGACCTTGGGTTGCCAAACAGCCCGCTCATGGCAAAAGGTTGCCAAGGTCTGGAGATCAGACATGCTCGCGCGGAAGGCAGGACCGAAACCTTGTGGATGGAGCTCCGCCGCAGTTGGCCTTGTGTCCTTTCTTGTTGCCGAGCCTGGTGCACGTCCATTCGGAGCTCTCCAGGCGTTCGGAGCATCTGAGGCAAAATCGCTAGTGAAACCGTTCTGCCTGGGGTGGCTGTACGCTTGCCTCGTACCGGCATGTGGCTGTCTTGCATATCCCTGAGGATGTCCTTGATGCCCGTGTGCATTGGGAGTGGCATAATTTGCATCCCGTCTAGGACCTGCAGCATTTTCGGCCTGCGATGCCTGTTGCACCAACGTGGCGTCGTAAGCTTGCCGCTTCTCTGCATCACACAGAACCTCATATGCATCGGCTGCTTCTTGAAAGCGACGCCGAGCATCTGGTGAGCTACCAGCTTTGTCTGGATGCCACTTCAGAGCAGCCGCACGGAATGCCTTCCGGATATCGGCACCGCTGCAGTGATGATCTAGCCCAAGGACAGCGTAGTGGTCCAGAATGCCCTCAAATTCTGCTGTCATTACGAAGCGGCTTCATTACAGCTTGATGCTCAAAAGGCTGCGACCAAGGAGCCAGTTCTATTGACGGTCATGTTTTTCTGCACAGTGTTCAGAATCACGCTTAAACAAAAGCTTACATTCGCTTTGACACTGTGCTTGATGGACTTGACTGCAGCTGCAAGAGAGCCTAAAACAAGGCCTCACTTCCGGTGAACCGAGATAAGGCGGAAGGTGAATACTCGGGGGCCGGGAGTGTTTGAGACTGGTGCTCAATTGAATTTCCTCCGTGGCCTTGGCATTGTACGATTGAAGAAGGCGTTGGGCGGCGTTGGGTGGTAGCTTCAGCCACCATGTAGTGCTTCCATTGGAACTTAATTTGCCCTCAAGGCCCAAGGCCCATGGTTTTACAAAAACAAAAACAAACCAGGCTCGGCAGAACAGCGAAAAAGAAAAAATGCGAGGGCGCACAGGATCATCATCATCGTCGTTGCAGGCTTCTATGACCTTGAGCGCAAGCCCATCGCATGGCCTCGGGGTGCCGACGCAAGTTTTTTTTTGAGGACCTTTTTCCAGCTGTTGGAGCAGGCATCTTACCGACGCAAGGTTTGATCCCTAAGCTGTCTCCGCTCGCTACATGATGTTCCTAGGGGCGCGGCTTTCCATTCCCTGAGGCAAAGTCCTTGATGTTGCGGGTTCGTTCCCGGATTCCGAAGCAGGAGCCTTGGCCAACACCCCAGTTCACGAGGAGAAGCACTGCTGAGATCCATAGGCTCGCAGCAGCTGCACTTTGACCAGCTGGCCCACATCGTAAGTTGGCAATCCCGATCGTTGATCTCAGAAGTCAGACACAACTCGGGTATGCTACTCACATCTCTGCATTCGCAGTCGCAGGGTCAGTAGGTATCCGACACAGGGCTGTGCAGAGGTGCAGCTTTCAAATTGCTCACGAAGGCCACCAACGGGCAACCCACAATGGTTGGCCTCGACCTACACCAGCCGACTCCGACGAGCCATGCAAGGCAGCAAGGCAAGGAATGTGGCAGCAGTGGGGAACTTGTGACAAGAGCCTCAATCAGACGAGAACGTGAGCGATAGCCCTCAGAGCATGACGCAGAGCACTTGGACCACTCCTGGACTTGCAAGAGATGCGACCAAACAGTGTCTCACTCCCACTGGCCCACTCCCAGGACCGCTCCTGCCAGGGTGCCCAAACTGCATCAACCTCGGAAACAACAGCTCGAAAGTGGCCTGGTGGGGTCACAGTCGCAGCCACCGTCACTGTCACAGTCATGCCACACACAATTATCCGTGGCTTGGTTCCCAACACACCCTCGATCACAAAGATGGGTGTTGCAAGGCGAGATCTGCAACCAATACACTGCATGCAACTGCCGGCACTCAGATTGCACCCACTTTTTAAACTCTGCACCTCGCTTTTCACTTCTGGTGGGCAAAGCTTACCGCCATGTCGAGGGGATACAGCGATGACACGGTTGCCTGAATGTGCCATGCACTCCTCACCTAGCTTGACTGACTCCACCGTCATACTTTCGGGCATCGAACACGGGAAATCATGCCGGAAGTGCGCTTTTTCACACCTCCCCCACAGGTGCAGGAGCCTGGCAGGTCTGAGATGGCAACTTCTGCACCAAGAATCTCAGTCTGAGAGACAGGCAGTCCGACCACTCTTCCCAGTCGCTCCATCGGCAGTCCTGCTGATGGCATTGTGAGTCCTGCATGTAGGCCGGTATGCGATGCGACGTGCGATTTGCAAAACAGGAAGATCCATGTACGGGGGCCTCGCAAGGAAAGAGCTCCGACATCGGCCCTTCACATCCTCTTCCTCTATTCGTAGCAGGTCGAGTCCTTGAAGCAGGAATCTACTGGTAGGAAGGATTGCGCGACGCGAAGAATCCACGGTACACGCACACTCGGGCCCCGACACCCGGCGCACCCGATGTTTTTGGCCTTTTCCGCACTGGGCCGAACAGGAAGTCCAATCCTTAGCAACAACGATACGACGATATCCTAGGCCTCAAGGTGAAGAGCCGTGAGCTGCTGCAAACATCTGCGAGGCGCAGGCATCCCACTCACCTAGGATGCAATCGTGCTCCTGGCGCTAGCACGATAGTCACTCGAAACTATGTCTGACGAACAGTCCTAAAAATCATTCAAACAACGAATGGAGTTCGCAGTAGTTCTGTCCTTCGGATCATAGCAAGGCGCCGTGTTGCACTGGATGCTCTCCTTCATCGCATATTCTGTAAGGCAAAGCGAACAGTTCCGCCACATGCGCCAGGACCTGCCTTCATCACACTTGCTGGACAAAAGCCCTTGGCGCTGCTGGGCTGGTTCAGCTGGCGCTCACGGTATGACTGACCTTCGTAGAAAGTCTGTCGAATACAGGCAGCAGGAATGGCTTAGACTTCTTAGACGTTGGCCACCATCGCACGTTTTGTCACAAGAAGTCCATGGCGTCCACTCCTTTGCATTCCGGAGGTCGAAAGATTCAAGCAACACTGGATCTGGGGAGCGGTCTGTCAGGGAGCAGTTCTGTGGCGGTGTAGCAGGACACCCAGCCGTCACCACCAACTCTGTGGGACAGACAAGGCCTCCTCCGGCCGGCATTTGCTGAACCTTGGAGCCACGAGTTCACCCGGTCACCCAGAGTCACCCACACGAAGCCGCCAGACTTCCCATTTGGACTCGAAAGCCTGTCTTCCAGGCCCCACTGCCTCCGCTTCATCGCTCCAATGCTAAGGTCAACGCTGTTCGTCTCCGAAGGCGCTGTGTTTGTCCCTCCTGCTGCAGACTACCACAGAAACATGCCTCTAAAAGCACAACGTCTCCTCGGCGCAATCGCTCCATGACGACCTGAATTGCGAATCCAAGAGAACAGGCATCCGATCCGACGACATTCCTCATCGAATCTAGTCGCTAGTCTGCAGTGGCTGTGCTCGTGGAAACATGTAAAATTTCTACCCTCAGAGGCATCGGCCATGTGGTGACGCGGCAATCGCTGCGACCACAGGGAGGCAGAGAACAGGGCACGGTCTGGCAGTGGCAGACAAGCAGTGATAAGCATCTCCTGTTCTGCCGGAGTCATTTGAATGCTCGGAAACCTCCAACAACACGCCCACGCAAATGTCACCACCATGCAGCGCCTCCTGCAGCAAATTTTGATGACAATACAAACGCCTTGCCATTCCACGCATGACCCTTGGACCCACGTCCTGATCAATCCGCCGCAGCCGGGTATGACGGCCTTCCCCACAAGTAGAGCTGCAAGTGGTCCATTCCTTTCCGCCGAGTCTCGCTGTCGGGCTTGCAGTGGAGGCTCTGGAGAGGCTCCGAGGCTCACACCCGCCAGGGGCTAAACTGGCATGCGATTGGCTGCTTGCTCGTTCCGCAGGGCCTGCAAAAGCGAGGGCCTTCCCGCCTTCCCCCCCTGCACTCATGGCCCATAACTGAAAGGATAAACACAGGGCCTTGTTAGCTTGGTAGGACCCTCACATGGTCTGCCTGCGCAGGAGAGTAGTGCCCAGGCATAACAAGCTGAAGGCCCAGAAACACACATGTGCAGACCTACGGATAGTTCGAGATCTAGGCATGCACAAAAATCTTCGAACTCGAAGCGACCAAGAAATTTGCAGACTACATCAAAGCCTGTGTCAGTTGGCTGCTGGACGATGGATCTTGATCTTACCGACTGGTCCGCCGAGCTGTGGCATGGAGTCCATTCCGACCTTGTTGGGCTTGTTTGGGCTTGACCGAATTGACTACGACGACACCAGAGTCATTGAGCCCCCGACCATACGCCAAACATGCAGTCGGTGACCTGCAGAACACGAAGCAAATCAATCTTCGACTGTGACGCTGACAAATGCCGTCGTGCATGCACGAAAGTAAAGATTGCTTGGTCGCTCCACGTCTCTGTGGCACCTGGCCTTCTTGACGCACTTGTCTTGGACGAAAGATTCCGACTCCAGCAGGGCTCCGCTGCACGGCTTGCCACACCTGACAGCGATGCAGGTCCGACATGGCTGACAAGGGCTTGGAAAGCAAAGTCGAATCAGGTCGACATGCCGGAAAAACTCATTGTTGGAGGTGGCTTTCGACCTTTCCCGGAACTTCAAGCCAATACCTTGGGCGTTGGTGATGCGATTCACTCAGCAGACCCAGGAACTGACCTGTTACGAAACAGGTCTTTCGCAGGTAGGCCAGGAACATCCGCCCGCATCATACCAGGAATTCCACGGAGAGAAAACGCAGTCTTGTGGCTGACATACAGAGCAAGCCTTGCAACAGGCAGAACTCCGTGCTCATGCGAATCTCGATCGGAATTGGGCTGTCGACTGGCAGTTCCTCACACCCGCCCACCTCGCAAGACACGGTGCCCATGCAGTATGGATGGATGCAAAAGCTTTTGTCGTGCAAAAGCCAAGGCCGAATGCAGGTCACGAACCGGGGTCCCACTGGGCTCCAAACCTCTTCATCATATCCTTGACAGGAATGGTGCGCGAGTCGTCGAACGGGAGCCTTGGATCAAAACAACGCAAAACTGGTGGAACTGCCGCAGCCAACACGGCATGGCTCGGGGCAGAACTGCGCTCTCTAAGGCGAGGAAGTTCACTGCCGAGAGCAGCGGGATCAGGCTTCGAGCCAGCATTTCCCAGACATGCTCTTCCCGTCCCGACTGCCAAGCAGCTTTGAGCCCGTTCGGCTGCACAGCACTGGCAAGTCCACAGGCATTTGGACACTCCAGCTGAGCCTTCGCAAACTACGGACTTGCACAGTTGGAAGCTCGTTTTCCAGTCCAGCTTCCTTGGATTGCTTTGCATATCCGCCTCATCCTTGTCTTGCAGGCTGTTGTAGGAAACAATGGAATGCTCCGGCTGCTCTAGAAGCCGTAGAAGTCGAAGTCCCTGTCCTTCTTCTTCGCGTGGTCCTTCCAACCTGCTTCAAAGTCCTTCGGCAGGATGACGTAGCGATTGTGTCGAACGGCCTGCATCCCTGCCTCCTGACAAATGGCTGCAATATCAGCACAGCTGATTTTTTCGGGCCGCGAGACGTAGTCTTCCAAGTCGACCTCCTCGCTCAAGTTCATCTTCGCGGTGATTGTCTGGAAGATCAAACGCTTCTGGCGCCTATCTGGGAGCGGGAACTCGATCTTCCGGTCCAAACGGCCTGGCCGCAACAGCGCCGGGTCCAGCGTGTCTGCGCGGTTCGTGGCCATGATGACCTTCACGGTCGTGTCCTGATCGAAACCATCCATCTGGTTCAAAAGCTCCAGCAAGATGCGTTGGACCTCACGATCGGCACCTGTTTGTGAATCAAACCGCTTGGTGCCGATAGCATCAATCTCATCGATGAAAACAATGGAGGGCGCATTCTCACGGGCTAGGCGGAACACATCTCGAACCATGCGAGGCCCTTCACCCAGGTATTTCTGAACAAATTCGGAACCAACCATGCGGATGAATGTGGCTGTTGTTTGGTTTGCCACCGCTTTTGCAAGCATCGTCTTTCCGGTGCCTGGCGGACCATACAAGAGCACGCCACTGGGAGGGTCGATGCCAATTTGAGCATAAAGCTCTTTGTGGGTCAACGGCAACTCCACAGCCTCCTTGATTTCCTGCTTCTGGATATCCATGCCACCAATGTCTGCATATGTGACATCAGGCTTCTCTGACATAGCCATGCTCTGGACAGTGCTGTCAGCTTCCGGTGGCAAAATGTCAACCACAGCATGCGAATGCCGGTGCAAAGCCACTGAGCTGCTCGGCTTCAGCAGCTCGCGGTTGAGCGTGCTCAGAATGCGGACGTAGTAATTGGAGCCCGCAGTTGAAGAGACTATGCCGTGGCTTTGGTCAATCATTTCCGAGAACTGACCGATGACCAACGGAACAGACTGGACACGTTTGATTTCCACCTGTGCGCGGATCATCTCGCGTTTGAGATTCTTCATTTCATCTTTGATGTACTCTTCTTGGATGTCGAGGAACTCCATCTGGCGTTTCAACTCTTTCAGGCGCATGTACAAGTCATCCTCGGCTTTGGCTGTCAAATCCGTCTGCTGCACCATTGCAGCCGTCAGTTTGCACCTGCACCAACGGCAGTCCCTTCCGAATTGGTCTTTTTTGCTCAGAGCCCATCTGCACAATCGAATACGTGAGCACGCGCTGATGCAAATTGACCGTGTAACAGAACGGACGAGTCACAAGAAAACCAGGGTTGCTGGTGAAGACGGGCAATGACGAATTTCTTTGTGTGGCAATCAACGCTAAAAGTGTTTCTTGCTGTCTGTGCTTGTTGCCGTCGGAAAGACGTTTCGTTCGTGCGGGTTGTCGATCGCAACTTGAAACCATGCAAAACCTCAAGTTTGAGCGCTCGGAGAAACGTTTCTTTCGAGAGGGCTGTCAATCGCAAGTCGAAAACCTACTAGAAGCTCGACGGCACTTTCTTAGTTGTGCTGTCGTCGCGGGGGCGTGTCTTTTTTTGCTGTCGTTGCAGGGGGTCGCAATTTGTTTTTTCTGTCGTCCTCAGGGCGCTGTTGTTTTTTCTGTCGCTACGGGGGGCGCGTTCTTTTTTGCTGTGGTTCCCGGGCGCCTTGTTTTTAGCTGTCGTTGCAAGGCCGCATGTTATGTTTTGCTGTCGTGCCGGGGACCGCAGTTCACTGACTCATTGGCTTTCTGGGGCCGCGCAAACACAGCAAAAATGTGGGAGGCGTGAAATCAGACATTGACCGTCAACATTGGAACAAATATATAAACCAACACTGTAATCACTAATCACCAATCTGCAAAGAATCCACGGACGGGACATGGTGACAAGGTCGCTCCAAAACATGTCCCGTCCTTATACGATCGTTGGGGGAACCGAAAAGATGGTATCAAGGCACAACATTGGCAAGAAACAGTGCGAGATCCGGAGTCGGCCGGTTATTGCTAAGCCAAAAAGGCAAGTTGCCCCGCGTCCACGAAACCGTTTCGACGCTCGAGGCTCTCCACACAAGGAAGCAGGCCACGATAAAGCGCTGTACGCAAAAGTAGGATGATCAACTCGAGGAACGGACCACAATGCAGCCAACTTCCCAACCATCGGAACCAAAAACGTCCGAGCAAGCCGAAACCTGCCGGATTTGGTTTAAAGTGGGGTACGACACATCGAACACGGACCCCGTCGGCGAGAAATCCCAGAAGCCGGTAGCCGGTGTTCGGCCAGCTAGGATAGCCACCGGCAACCGCTACGGATGAAGACAGTATAGTCGGAACCCAGCAGAGCTCAAGGGCTGCATGCGTCGAAAAGACGGGCCGTGGCAACATGAACTCAGACATCGACATTTACGGGCGAAGCACATCAACCAACATTAAACAAAGCTTCGCACTCCCTTGCACAACAAAAGGGCGCCGTTTTTCACCTGCGCCAGCACAGATCACAAGAGCTGCGGTCTTACCGCGGAGAGAAAAGTCTCACCGGCAGGGTGCGGGAGTGGTGGGAGCCTCGTGCGTTGCAGCTTTATCTGTTCAAAGCTTCGCACTCCCTTGCACAACAAAAGGGCGGGCGCCGTTTTTCACCCGCGCCAGCAAAGATCACAAGAGCTGCGGTCTTGCCGCGGAGAAGTCTCACTTGCAGGGTGCGGGAGTGGTGGGTGGGAGCCTCGAGCGTTGCAACGTACACGCTCAGCTTTATCTGGTCAAAGCTTCGCACTCCCTTGCACAACAAAAGGGCGCCGGTTTTTTTCACCTGCGCCAGCAAAGACCACAAGAGAGAGCTGCGGTCTTTCCGTGGAGAAAAGTGCTGGATTTGCCTGCGGTGACTCTTTTTTGGCGTGGGCGGGCCTCAATGACAGCAGTTGCTGTACTCGGTCCCAGTAAGAACTACAAGAAGCTGCAAGAAACTGAAACAGAAAGGACACAAACCTGTACAAAGTGAAACAACAAGCTGCGACATACAGACTTAGCCGGCAAAGTCGTTCAGCGTGAATTAAGTGCACACGGCCCCACGGTTCACTGGCCCTGCTCCCCGTAAAGCCTGGGTCGCGCAATGGCAAACATGAGAATCGGCCCTGCTGCCCAAATGGGGCAGCGCAATGGCCCTCACAGAAGCATTGTTTGGGGCCCAGACCGGCCAACATGTCAACGGCAGGCTGGAGTGGCCAATGCCGAGCCATGCATTCCGAGCGCTGGTGCACAAAAAGGCGGGTCACACTGACCCAACTAGCAGTCAGATCCCAGAATTGTTCGCACACTGTGGACCAACGGCAAGGCCCAGGACAGCGTGCCGGTGCCGTCAACCAGCAAACACAAGCACTTTGAACCAAGCCCAGTTTCCCACCAAGGTGGGCCCCGCAAGGGCAGCACAAACCGAGCGCAATGTAGCTAGCAATGCAGCTGAGCACATGCCATGCTGGCCAACCAGCCACGCCTTGGCCCCGCTCGTTCCATGGCCCAGCTTCCCTCGCGTGGGTATCGCAAGGGCCAAGAATATATAGAACAGGTGGGGGCGCACAGAGCCTCCCCCTCGAGAGAAGTGAAATGGCACCGACTATTGCAAAATTGCCCACGCCCAGCTTCCCACATGGTGGGCCTCGCAAGGGCAGGGGCTAATCGGAGCAAGAAGATTCCTTGTTGTGTGGGACGCAAACCGGCAGCGGAGCCCGCAAACGCGTGAGCGGGAGATCGCCCAACTGCTCCATGGGGAAAAAAGGCAGTCGTGCCCAGGCCATCCCACCTCCAAGGGCTGCATGTCAAGGAATGCAGACTGGATGGCCGCAGCGCGGAAGAAGTCCGAGCTTTCGTAAAGCCCAAGGACCGTCCTATAGGCGAAGCGGGACGCCGACGCCAGCACCACTAAAGCGAGGCCCGCAGCCTTACGCTCCTGCGTACCAATGGCGCAAAGCAACTGCCGAGTGGCAGCCGATGGCGGGGCTCCAAATGAGCACCGGCATCGAGTGCACCGACACTTACGTGACAATTGGCGCCACCAGATTCTCCGGAATCGTGGCCATGGCTTGTCATCTAACCGGTGCTACAAAGGCCGACACGGCAGCGAGGATGTAAATAGGTAACACCCCAGGCGGCAGAACGCAGCCCTAACACTGACAGGGGCGTGGTTCACTATGACACTGGCCACCGAGTCCAAGAACCCTAACTAGGGACAGGGTCGAACCGGGCGCCAATGCGCAGTTCCCAGGCATATCCAACAGGAGTCGTCATGCGGAGGGTCGGTCAGAGTTGCTGGACTCCCAGCGAAGCAGAGTCGAATCCAAGAACGGCGAGCGAAGCCGCGTAATAGGGAGCTCAGCAAGCTGCTCCAAAGGAGAGTATAGAGCCGGCGCGCCAGCCCGGGCCAGCGAAAGGCCCAGGGCTGCATGGCCGCGACGGCCTGCCTTATGGCCCCAGCGCGAAAGAAATCAGTGCCCTCGTAGAGTGCAAGTGTACTTTGACAGGCACGCCACGACGTAGAAGCCCACCCAAGGAGGGCCACGAAGTCGATTTGCAAGATGGTAGCTCGCACCTGGAATCCGAGTCGAACGATCATTTTTTCGACTCAGACTCGCCGGAAAGTGTGCTGCGCCAGGGAGGCAGAGACACGGTCCTGATACCCAACCAGCTGCCGCTGCAGGGCCACCTCAGCTGCCCGGCGTTCATGCAGGTCTGTCATGGA